CTTTGTGTGTGGTCCCTCCTCGTCTCTCACATGTGTGATGGGTGATGGGGTGTCGCGTCAGTCCTGGTCAGGTCAGGACCACTGCGCTATTTTGTACTGTTTTGTATGTATTGAGGTGTACATTGCCTATTGATGTTTCACTAACATTGCATTGTCCATTTAGTCGTCTCCATCACATTGTGGATCCTTGGCTGTACATACATTGTTCAGCTGGGCATGTATCAGTTTGTATCGGAGCCCGCACATGAATTAGGACAACCTGATCTGACACGTGTGGGGGAACCGATTGATTGATTGATTGATTGGTCATTGAATGACCGACCGATTGATTGATTGATTGATTGATTGGTTGATTGATTGATTAGGTCAAACTAATTAGTCCCCAAAATCACGAATTTTGACCTAACTGCCAAAAATTGAAAATTTTCGAAATTATTTTTTCTCCTTCCAAATTTTTTTTGTTGGAAAATCTAGAACATTTTCTTGCTCTTTCGGAATATTGTGTGGTTTCGTTATTTTTTTTAGATTTACACATGACGTTAATTTTGATTTGCATTTTTTCTCGCTATTTCCCGTTATTCCAAAAATTCTGAATTTTGTTTTTTGAATCTATTTGCGTTAATTTGTTCATTTCCCGCATTTTTAACGGTAATGGAAAATTCGAAACTCATTGTTTTTCGTTATTCGGAACTTATTCCGAGATTCCGAAATTATTTTTACGGAAGATATCTCGTTGCAGTTTATCTTTACTGCACAAACTCTCATCTGATCGATTCCGAATTTTTACTTTTCGGAATCCTCGGAACTTGTGGACAATTTTTCACAGTTCCGTTATTTATGATTCATTATTATTATTCGTTTGCAGTCTGAAAAGTCGAATTTTGTATATAATTTTTAATTTGAGGGGGATCGAAAGACGTATTGAACTTGCAAGTCGAGTTTTTTTTTTTTATAATTATTAATTTCTCAAAAGTTTTTGCAAAGTTCGAACTTTTCTTTTTTGATTAGTGGCACCTTATCTGGGCGATCAATCCCACCAACCCCCACCTATGATGTTGCACCCTCCTTTCCTTCTGCATCTGTCTTCGGGTACCCCTCACTGTGACATTGGTGAGTTTCCCCGTCAGCATGCCACGTCAGCAGACCGTGTCAGCAGGCAACGTCAGCAGACCACGTCAGCAGGCCACATCAGCAGACCACATTAGTAGTGACATGTCAGCAACACGTCAGCCGACAACCGTGCCAGGTCAGCAGCCGAGCAATGCCACATCAGCAGTAGGGAGTGCCACGTGAGGAGTCCTTCAGCCTGGTCTATGCTCATGCCCTCTCAAACAGCCGTCATGGACCAAAAGCTTGGGGAAACGGTCGAGGCCTAGCAGGCCCGAATGTAGACCTTGATCAACGAGGCCAAGCAACGGTCGGATGCAGTAGCAGCCGCAGAGAAGAAGGCGGCCAAGGATGCAGAGAAAGCCACGTCTGCTGGCGATCGAACGGAAGCGCCAGCACGACGAGGCAGCAGCAAAGGTTGCCGACGAGGAACGCAACATGCGATGCGAGAAGATATTCGGGGGAGAGCAGGCCTTACTCAACATGGCAGCGGAATGGCGGTCCGAGGCCGAGGGTGGTAAATTGAGTGATGTGCATTGCACAACAGGAGGATATCCATTCCCTCGACTACGAGGTCAAGCGAGTCAGCAGCCGCTTACAGCAGCTAGAGCAACGACCCGTCGCCGCCCCCGTTGCCAGCTCCTCCAACACTTCTGATCGTCTCGACGCATTGGAAGTTGACGTTGGGGCACTCAAGAACGGCTCACAGCTACAGCAAACTGCAACTCAACAACTTGAGCAGCGGATCTGCGCAGCCACTGCTAACTCGAGCACGTCACCACGTGGAACGACTCCGAAGTTCGATGGTCACGAGATCTTCTACGACTCTACAAAGACGGACCCAATTCCGTGGTTCCGCAAGTTCGAGCTCATGTTACAGCTCCACCACACCAACGAGGAGAAGAAACACGCATATTTGTATTCTCGATCGGGGGGCACGTGCCAAGCACGGTTGGACAATCTCTTGTCCAAGTACGGGGTGGTGGCTGCCTTCTTGTATACCACAGAATGATTTGAAGGCGGCGTGGCATAAGCGGTTCCAAATAGAGCCACGAGAAATCAAAGCAATGGACAAATTATCGACTTTCCAACAAGGCACGCCTCCCTAGCGGTGATTGGATTGCCGAGTTCCAATGCTTGGCATCAATGTCGGATGTACCGATGGGCTTCACGGCCATCAAACACTACTTCATTACGAGGTCATGTCCGACACTATCCAACGCATTGACTCACGTTGCGTAGGCTCTCACAACAATAGCGGAGCTTTCGACAAGGCCGTGCAGATTATTGTCACGAACACAAAGGACACGAACCTTCCCCGCTCGTCTGCGGCAGGCCTGAGTAGAGAACAACATTGACCGAAGCGGCAACGCCGATCGACCCTTCAAGCGAACAACAATTGCGGAGCTTTTCGACAAGGCCGTGCAGATTATTGTCACGAACACAAAGGCCATGAACCTTCCCCGCTCGTCTGCGGCAGGCCCGACCAGAGAACAGTATCGACCGAAGGTGGCCGTGGGCGCAGCGGCAACGCCGATCGACCCTTCAAGCGAGGTCATGTCTGCCAATGAAGGGGACAAACTCGCAGCCACCCGGGATGGTGGCCGCCCCGGCAAAGGCCGAGGACGCTGCTAATTGAAGACAACCACGTCAAAACCCAGGCCGAGCGTAGCAACTCAAGACCCACAAAACCACTATGGTCTCTCGGAGCACGTATACAAGTTGTGCACGAGATTCTGCTATTGTTTGTGGTGCAACAACGATCTCCACGAAACATTGGGCTGTCCTTTGAAAGGCAAGGGCGAACAGTCAGGAAACTGAGCACCGTCGGGGGTGAGTCGACAACAGTCTCGAAGCCGTCGGAACCTGTTGCTACGTGGGCGACCGCCCTTCGTTTCGAGGCACATGCGGAAGTCGATAGTCCTCCCATCTTATATTCTTACGAAGACTATGCTGCCCGGCTCGTTCCAAAGCTGGGTAGTCATGCTCAAGGACAAGACATGTGTGTTGTATTGTTACATGCTGCGCCTGCACACGGGCCCCATTTGAGGGGCCCGACGGTTGCTGAGGGGCCCCCAGGCCGCGTACCATACAGCACGCGCTCTGGAGGCCCACGACGGCCCTCCAGTCCCTAGGTAGCACACTGGTTAGATATGTTTAGTTTTGCTCACCTGTTTGTGTGTGTGTGCTGTCTCACTTTCTGTTCAGGTGCTGTTTCGGACTTGCAGCCCCAAGGCCGGAGAGAGAGAGATGGAGGAGGAAGAAGAAGATGACGTCCTCCTTGCTATCTCACCTGCAGGTAGCTTTCACCGTGCTGACTGTGGTCGTCGTCGTGTGCAGGTACTGCGTGGAGCCCGGCTATTGCGCCAGGTAAGCTCGTCGTTTGCAGGTAAGGCCTCCGCCTCTCTCTACTACCTACGTCGTTACTCCCTACTCCGTAGCTTAGCGCAGAATAACGCCGCCTCCAACCAGCAGCGTGTCGCTCCAGAAGTGAGCTACTCGAACTATCCTTGCCCAGCCGCTGCCCAACTATTTGTAGCGCTGAAACGAGGCCAGGCGCATTTTGGCGCCAGACGGGTAGGTGCAGACGTCGTTTCGGCCTGCAGGTCCCAAGGCGACGCCTTGGGCTAGGTGCACAGGTGTGGGGCCATTTTTAGGCCAGGCGCATTTCTGCGCCTTGCTGCATCAGCAGCATGGTTTGGACGTCCGATAGGGACCCAGACCAGCCGGGCCGTGTCTCTGAGGCCAGCATCAGGTAGGCCCAGCCCGCCCAGCACTACAAATAGTTGGGCAGCGGCTGGGCAAGGACAGTTCGAGTAGCTCAGTTCTGGAGCGACACGCTGCTGGTTGGAGGCAGCATTATTCTGCGCTAAGCTACGGAGTAGGGAGTAACGATGTAGGTAGTAGAGAGAGGGGGAGGCCTTACCTGCAAACGACGAGCTTATCTGGCGCAATAGCCGGGCTCCACGCAGTACCTGCACACGACGACGACCACAGTCAGCACGGTGACAGCTACCTGCAGGTGAGATAGCAAGGAGGACGTCATCTTCTTCTTCCTCCATCTCTCTCTCTCCCTGCTCCTTCCTCCATCCTCTTTCTTACCTTCTTCTTCACCTACGAGAGTGAGAGAGGTTATCGGTAGGGAATACAGGCAAAGGTTATGCTGGGCACGTCGCCCAGGATCTGATTCGACATTCTGGGACAGACATTGATTGGACACTTGGCAAGGGACTATTTTTGGGACTTCGCTATCACGGTCTTGGTCTACTCCCTCCCCGCCGCCTCCTTGGTCTCGTCCCTTCCCCCCGTCTCTCAGCCGTGGTATCTCCCCATCTATGTGTGCGAAGGAGGGACCTTTCTTCTGTGATTGCGGTCCCTCCTCCCCTCTCACATGTGTGATGTATGATGGATGTCGGGTCAGTCTAGATCAGATCAGATCTTCTCTTTTAAGTCTTCCACTGCGCCACTTTGTGCCATCTTGTATGTATCGGAATGTACATTCCTTGTTGATGCTACGCTGACCTTGCATTGCCCCATTTCAGTCCTTTTCATCACATTGCGGATCCTTGGATCCGTACGCATTGTCCCATTGGGCATGCGTCATGTATCTTCTTCGTCCAAGAGCAGCGACTTATCGTCTTCAAGTGGTTCTTCATGGGATCCGGCGCGCGAGTTCAACATAGAGGTATTGGACTCGCTCAAGTTCGAGGATTTTGCATGGCTTCCTTTCCTACCACGGGCCGCTTGCTGGGACCGCAATGCGCAGCACTATGCGCTCATCTTCACACGTACCTATCCTTCTATGCACCACCAACTTCGCTGAAGGATGGCGGAGCAGAGGTGGGGGACATCGTTGCGTATGTTACCAAGGTGGCTCACAAGTTTCGCACGCAGAGGTACGATTACAACAATGCACTGCTCCTTTATGTCAGCATCCAAGTTGGGCAAGCGTGCTGCAGCGCTTTGCTGGATAGCAGCGGAACTCGCAATTTCATGAGCCAAGCCTTTATGCAAAGGGCTGGCCTTGGCAAGCAAGTTCGGAGGAAGGCAAACTCTACGGCGGTGAAGTTGGCGGATGGAAGGAAGCAACAACTTATCGACGATGCATCGAGGCCGTACCGGTGTAGTTGGCACCTCATGCATGTGAACCGGTGACGTTCGACATTTTGGACCTAGACTTCGATATCATTTTGGGAATGCCTTGGATTGGAAGTGCAGATCATACGGTCAACTTCCATCGATGGACTCTTACCATTCGTGACGCCTTCGGCACCAAAGTACCGTGTACTATTCCTCTTCCGCACCCTTCGGTCCAGTGTCAAGTTGTGACGGCCAAGTCGTTCCGAGCTACTTGTGTTTACAAGCAACCCGACGAGATAGGCCTATGTTTCCTACGGACCGTCACTGTAGCCGACTCTTCACCCATGGACTTGTCTTCGAACTCCCGTGTGGTGTGGTTGCTCGACGAGTTCGCCGACATCTTCGAATCACCTATCGGGGTGGTGCCGAATCGGCCGATCTCTCACAAGATCATTCTTGAGGTCAGTGCAGTGCCGCCGAAAGGTTGCATCTCTCGGATGAGCGAGGAGGAGCTTGCGGTCCTCCGCGCGCAACTCGACGACTTGTTGGACAAGGGTTGGATCCACCTTAGTAGCTCCCCATATGGAGCGCCAGTTTTGGGTCCTCTTCCTCGTATTGATGATCTCCTTGAGCGAATGGGCGGCACAAAGTACTTTTCCAAGTTGGATTTGAAGTGGGCCTATCATCAGATTTCAATATGCCTAAATGATCGCTATAAAACCGCGTTCAAGATGCAGTACAGACATTTTGAGTGGGTGGTCATGCCTTTTGGCCTCACCAAGAGTCGAACAAGATTCAAGCCATCCAGGAGTGGTCGGAGCCGCGGAATGTTACGGAGGGCCATTCGCTTCTTGGCCTTGCCGGCTACTACCGACGTTTTATCAAGGGATACTCGAAGATCGCGGCCCACTTAACCAACCTTCAATGCGAGGATCGACCGTTCGACCTCGGTGAGGATAAGCGGGGATCGTTTTTGGCCCTCAAAGCCGCGTTATTATCCACAGGGGTCTTGCACATCTACGACCCGCTATTGCCAACACGCATCACTACTGATGCGTTCGGCTATGGCATCGGTGCCGTTCTCGAACAACACGATCGTGTGCACTGGCACCTAGTCGAGTACTTCAGCAAGAAAGTGCCCGTTGTGCACTCAATTGAGGATGCAGGAAAGAAGGAGCTCCTAACCTTCGTCCACACGCTCAAACGGTGGCGACACTTTCTCTTTGGTCGAAGGTAATTCTGATGGGTGACGGACAACAATCCGTTGGTCTTCCACAAGATCCAAGACACAGTCACCAGCACCATCGGCTGTTAGACGACTATCATCGACCAATTTGACTTCTCTCCTGATCACATCTCAGGAAAGTCAAACCGTTTTGCGGTTGCGCTTTCACAACGTCGGGATCATTGTACTGCAGTCTATTCGACCTTCAAGATCGACGACGACCTGTGGGACAACTTCATCTGCGGCTACCAAGCCGACCCAGAGTTTTGTGACAAGTACGCGAATATCTCCTCTCTTGATCCGGCGCCATCGCACTACCGGATCCAAGAGGGGTACTTGCTTGTCCACACGCTGGGGAAGGAGCTTCCTTGCGTTCCAAGTGACTCTCACTTGCGTACGCGGCTTCTTGGCCAGTTCCATGAGGCTCCCGCCACCGGACACTTTGGAGTCAATCGAACGATTGGTCGACTTTGCGAGCGCTTTTGGTGGCCCGGCCTTCTCAACGACGTCACACGCTATTGCAAGTCATGCGAGGTTTGCCAACGCTGCAAATCCCGCAATCGTCTGTACGGCGAGTTGCGACCATTACCGGTCCCCTTGCGGTGAAGGGAAGCGATTGCCATGCACATCATCGGGCCGTTCTCCAAGCACAAAACCGGTGTGGATGGGATTCTCACGGTGGTGGACTGACTCACCAAGTTCGCCATGTTCTTGCCTTGCTGCTATCATGCCAAGGCAGTAGAATTAGTCGAGGTTCTTTACTCCGGTTGGATTCGAACCAAGGGTTACCCCAAGGAAATGGTCTGCGACCACGACACTTGGTTCATGCTCGATTTTTGGTTGGCGCTCATCAAACGATGGGGCTCATCTCTCAAGCCGAGTTCGGCTTGCCACCCCCAAACCGATGACCAAACGGAGAGGGCGCATCAGACCGCACAGGTTCTCCTTCGCACTCTCATCCGCCCGGACCAACATGATTGGGTTGAGTGGCTGTCAGATGTCAAGTTGGCATACAACTCGTCCATTCATCCGGCTATCGGGATGTCGCCCTTTGAGTTCGAGCACGGCTCACCGGGCACTTCTCCGCTGGACACGATCATCCCACGGGCGGTCAAGAGCGACGACCATCTTCTTTTCTTGGGTCGAATGCAAGAGATACATGTCAAGGCACGCGACCAAATGGCAAAGACACAGCAACGCATGAGCCAACAAGCCAATCGATAGCGTCTTCCTTGTCCATTGCACGTTGGCGATGTCGTATGGGTCTCCGTGGAATTCAGCCTCGAGCAAGATATCTCGTGCAAGCTCCTCCCGGAATGGATGGGACCCTGGCCGATTGTAGCACCCTCTGGGGACGCACCCGAAGGACATTCATTTGTCATTCAGGTGCCCGCCCACTTGCCCGTCCACCCTGTCTTTCACTGCTCGAAGTTGGCTCTTGACATGCCAGTGGAACATGACGACTTTCCTGGGCGACGATCACAAGACCCACCCTCTATGGACGATTTTCAAGAGGTTGGCGACATAATCTCCCAGCGATGCTATTGCAACAGGCCGACCGAATACTTGGTATGTTTTGCGTACTGCACCCATAAAGATAACCGTTGGTTGACCCTTGCAGAACTGCAAGCAATAGTTCCGGATGTTCTCACACGCTATGAACGCAAGTTGCAGGCAAGTCGATATCTTCGGCTCCAGGTCGCACCCGCGTCCAGGCTCCACCTTCAGATCGTCAGCTTCGCCCTCAACCCGGCTTGATTTCATAACGGGGGGGGGGGTGTTACATGCTGCGGCTGCACATGGGCCCCACTTGAGGGGCGCGACGGTTGCTAAAGGGGCCCCTGGCCGAGCGCCACCCAGCACACACCTTGGAGGCCCATAGCGGCCTTTGGGCCGGAGGTCCCGGCAGTGGTCCGTTCGGACGTTGATTAGGACTGCAGGTCTAGACGTCGTTTCGGACTGCAAGTCCGAAGGCGTCACCTTGGGCCAGGTACACAAGGCCTAGGCCACTTTCAGGCCACGCACGTTTCGGCGCCTCGCTGCATCAGCAGCGTGGTCTGGACACCCGGTAGGGGCCCAAATCGAGTAGGCCGTTTGAGGCCAATAGCCGAGGAACGGCCAGCAGACCCAACGCTACTTATAGCTGGGCTGAGGCTGGGCTGGGGACAGTTCGGGGAGCGACACACTACTGGTTGGAGGCTGCGCTATTTCGGCGCGCTGCAAGGCTGGGAAGGAGAGGCGTAGGAGGCAGAGAGAGGCGGAGGCCATACCTGTAGTGGCGAACTTACCTGGCGCTATAGCCAGGGCTCCGTGAGGTACCTGCATAGGACAACCACGACAGTCAGTACGACAACGGTTACCTGCAGGTGAGGCAGCGAGGAGGGCAACATCTTCTACTTCCTTGTCGCCCTCCATCTCGTCTCCCTGTCTCCTCCTCCTTCCTCCTCCCTCCTCATGTATGTTCTTCAGATAGGAGCGTGAGAGGGATTACCGGCAAAGGCTACGGATTGAAACCTATGCTAGAGATTTAGAAGATCTTTGTCCTATGCTTTAGATGATGGGCGTTATAAACGATATAATACGATAGACGGTATATGAATATGTATATATCTCCGAATGAGTAGATGATATAGATATATATACTAACCTAACACATGAAACAGTTTTCACCTTTGGCAGTAGCCGATGCAGATCCCAGGGGTCGATCCCTTGACCTCGGCTTACCTGTGTACAGTATCTGCACAGTTCCCTGGAGTTGAACCCGTGACCTGCACGATAGCCAGTGGTAAGTAGGTTGCCGTAGGTTGTAGGCTGTAGGGAGATTCGAACTGTAGACCTGTAAGGTAGGAGTCCAAGTAGAGTCYMGAGGCCTAGCTTTAGTCCTTCTAGAAGKTYGRCAAGTRGTCAAGTGGTGAGTCTAAGGTAGGCCCACGTTTTCAGACRAAGACRAGTGGCAAGGTCAACAGGTAGGACCTCARTGCAACTGCACTGAGTCGACGGTACGACTGCCTACAGTCAGCAGAAGGGTCTAGAGAGTCCCAGTCCAGTCCAGCAAGTACCACAGGGGGACTGTGAGCACCAAGGGCMGATGGCAAAGGGCAGACCAACGAATTTTTGAAGTATAAATCAAGAGGCAGCGCCCAGCCATTGATTCCTTCCTGCGTGAGCCATGCGGAAGCGCTGCCACAGCGACTTGTGCAAGGAGGTCTGCAGATGAGCCCGGAGGTCGCAGTGGGCAAGAGAGGAGGAG